AATGCCCAAAATTTCACCACTGATGTGGTGGAAATATGTTCCTGTGCCTGGGAATCTCTTGTTGCAACTGCAAGAGTTGCATATAGGTGGTCATGCATCAGCAGCCAGAACCATGGCTGCCCTGGATTTTTCGTCATTAGTGTTGCGAATTTTTTTCATGCGAGTACATAAATTAGCATTTATTAGTGTTGCGTTAATAATTGAATTATATTATTATGATCATTTTCGCGAGTTCTCTGCCTTTGTTTGTTTATTTTTTTTTTTTAATGTTTTTTTTTGTAAATGCTAAAGTAATTGTTATTTTAAATATCAGAAGCACTCTTCGCGGTTGATTTTGAAAATTGTCAGTTATCTGACAATTTAGTAAGTTAGTGTTGCGAAGTTACAATTTATTTATTCCACTCACGGTTTGTTTAACGGGTTCATATCGAGTGGAAATATTTTATTTTTGTGGCTACTTTGGCTACCATTGTATATTCTTTTTCAGCACCCTTTTTCACTGAAATTGTTGTTGATGAAAGTACTGCTGTAATATGTATATGTTCTTTTTTCCATTCCTTTTTCTTTTTTTATCCTTTTATTTCATCTTTTTTCAATACTCGCGATACACGTTTATTTTGCAAGATAAAGTTTTGCATAATAATCGTTTTGTGTGTGTAACTCGACTTTTCGTAGATGTAATAAAAGTTACATTTTTCTTTTGTTCGTGTTCGCGAAAATTCTTGATTTTTGTTTATAGAAATACATGCAAATGTATTTCGAAGTAAAAGTGTGATTATTTCTATTTCAAATTTTTGACAAAATATTTTTGACTGTTATTGAAATGCTTGTTAATATGTGGTATGTCTTCTTTCAGGAGTCATTGTTTTGTTCTGTTTCCCCAACTATTAATCCAGTAATTAAGTTTGTTGCAGATTTATTAATTTAGAACGCTTTCGTGTCACCATGTTCAATATCATTTCAAATATATGAACTTATGTGAGTATGTCAGAGGCTCAGAAGTGAAATAACGGACGTGGAAGGAAATGACGTTATGGAAAGTGATATATGAGCCTCATTTTTTTTTTTTATTATCATTTCCATAATTTTTATGTATAATCATATATATTATTATTTATAATAATTTTACTATTTTTTCTACAGTGTGTTTGGGAAACGTTATGGTGCGAACGAAAACTGTGTGAGTGGCTTCAACGCCCACACAGTGTCTCTTTAATATTCAGATTTCTCTGATCAAATCCTTGGTTTCTTGTGTATATAAGATGTTTGAAATTTTCTCTAGATTTATGGTAGAAAGGTTTGGCGAAAACCCTTTAAATTTGTCATAGGTCGGTTATGTTGAAACCTTCTAGATTTGTGATAGGTAGAGATTTCATTAAAATTCATCTGATTTTTGATAGGATACTGTGAAAGGTATCCTTAATCTCCCTATGCTTGGTACTTTAAGATATTTTTAATTTCGACGTACGTAGGGCTGACTATTTTTCTTTTTTAGGTTCTTCGGATTACTGGAGGCTGGAAGTCACATTTATTTTCCCGTGTATTTATTATTTTTGAATTTTCTTTGTTGGTTGGGTTTGTACTTGTCTTTAGATATTGAATAGAAGGTGAATTAGTCTTTCACCTTTGTACGTTATTATGTTATTACGGAGAATTTATGGTTATGAGTGTTTATGTCAAGTTAGGATTATGATTAAGTTAGTTGTTAATTACGATCAGTGCTGACACATTAGTCTTTAAGTTGAGTTAAATTTTATATTGGTAAGTAATATTAAGTGGTATTGAGTAGTATTAAGTTGCATGAAGTGGGTAGTATTAAGTAGTATCGGGTAGTATTAAGTAGTATCGGGTAGTATTAAGTAGTATCGGGTAGTATTAAGTAGTATTGGGTAGTATTAAGTAGTATTGGGTCAACTATTCTATATTTTTAAGCCGATATGCATGTACAGTATTGATGTTTGTACGAAACATCATCTGCTTTTTTCATCTTTTTAATTATCGATTGTTATATTTTTTATTAAAAATGAAACTGTGCAATATTGACCAATTGTAGGATAATATCATCTGACATAATTTATCTCTTTCTTCTATGTTTAAATTGTCTTCTATTTCCAGGTTTAATTTGTCTTTTACTTCTAGGTTTAGTCTTCCGCGTCGGTTTTCTGTTTAAATTCTTTTTGATGTTTGATTTACACAGCGATCAATAATTGAGCGTTGTGCAAACATGCATCAAAGGAGAAATATATTTGAATATTAGTAAATTTTCGGCTAATGGAGGGTGGTTGGGACGTGGTTAGGGTGGGTCTCCATTCGCAGCACCTCCTCGCGGTGAGACCTGGGCAATCGGTATTACTTGAGGTATAATTCCTAATTGTATCACTATAGTTATGTGATATATAGCTAATAGCTATGATACGATTATAAATTATATAGCAAGTAATATGAGCTAATTGGCTGCGATCTCAGTGTTGTAGATTTTCATCTGTTAAATTAGGGAGTGGAGATGGATGAGGGATCTTCTTGTAATTTATGTTGTTTATACTTATTGTTGATATTGGTATATCAGTTAAAATAGCTTTTATTAATGTCCATACCTTGTTTCTACAATAGGTTTTACTTACAAAGATTAACAAATGTAGTTCGCTGATTAGTCGAGTTCTCGGCTATTTCCAATGCGTGGCATACCGTAAATTTCACGGTGTGCAAAACACTCTTTTAAAATATTTGGCTTCTCACGAATTCGTCGATTCGTTTTGGACTAAATCCAAATTTACTAATTAATTTATTTGTAATCTTATTCTACGTCAAATTGGTGTTCCTGGGTGTGTGACTCCGAAGTGGTTAAGGATCTCTAGTTTTTCTAATTTGCGGGATAGTAAAGTTCAATATATGATAGATCTATTTCGTAATTCATCTTTGTATATTATAAAAACGTATTAATTATGATAAAATTCAATAATCATATTCATTTTCCAACTGTCGATAACTAAGTAGGACGTTCGGGTGTTGTCTTATTAATTGTCGGTAAAAAAGGAAACCGAGTGAATTAGGATAATGGCGGAATCTACGTAGTCTGTATATGGTAATGTTAGATTTCTGTTTTTCTCGGTTTCCTTTTTACCGACAGTCGAGAAGACGATACCTACATATCTTGCTTAGTTATCGACAGTTGGAAAATGAATTTGATTATTATTGAAAAATACATCGCGAAAAAAGGGAATGCGTACTCTTAAGATTGTCTTTTACTTTTGCAGTTTATTTGTAAAATAAAATCAAGGTCTTGTTATTGTACAAATTGTTTCATTATTTCGAGAATCTAGTCTTGTCATGACGTAAGAGTAAGAGAATTGTAGTTTCTTCAGTGCAATGATTTTAAACCATTGTCCTTATTTACTATCGAGTCCTTAATCTTTGAAGATTTTTTATTATCACGATGTTCTTTAATTGTGTAGCATGTTGTTATTCAGCTAATTACATTCTTACCATAGTGTTTTTGTATATTTAAGTGTATTCTTTCAAGCTTCTCTGTGCGTTTGTGAGATCATTATATTTTTTGAGGTTTGCTTTAATCTAGAAATCAGTATCGAATTATCCATCGTTTCATAAATAAATCCGTTTTTTTATGAACTTTAGTATCAGTTCCAACTAAAGGTAATGTGTCAATCTTCTTTTATTGTCAGTCGATAACCTAGGTAGTACAGAGTCGGTAGCTAGTCGGTAATGTTGGAAACTAATATTGTTGCAGTGGTAAAAATAATCTGTCTCAATTTTCGAGTTAAATAAATATCACAAACGAAACGAAAAATAGATTCAATATCAATAACTGTTTATTAAATATTAACGAAAATAAATATAATATAATATTACTATTCCAGAAATTTACGTTATCGACGTTTCGTCGTTAGGAAAAACTTCTATTCGTTTTATTTATTCGAGTTTACATAGCGCAGAAACGCATTCTGTTATTTATCAGGAAATGCTGATTTACGTTAAATCGTGATTCATCATAGTCAACTTGGTCGCGTAACTTTTCTACCGAGTTATGTACCCCTATTCTCGTCGCGCGTTTAAAAACGCACGGTTGGAAGGTGGTGCCATCTAGTCGGATTAGTTTACTCGAATATTGTCAGCGAGCAGGCGCTGGACCGCTTTCTGAGGCTGCGTACGGGATGAAGAGCGAAAGACAGAGAAGGACCGAGATTCAAACTCGAAATCTAACGAGGAACTCTCAGAGCCACGCGAGTGGCCGCGCGATACGGCACGGGTGTTTGAAAACGGCCGATAACAGTGTGCATCGCGCCATGTGTGCCGAGAAAAGTGCGAATTTGCTGTGGCTTCTTTGTTTCGTATCCTTCTTCTATGGATTTGTTCTACCATACGGTGAGTAAATCGCTCGAATTTCTCGAAATTTCCTAATCTTCAGCACTCGTTAAAAACTATACTATTATTACGCGAAGAGTGATCGTTCGGTGTCTGATGTTTTCTTTTATGTGACAATACGGTGATTAGGAATTACATTCTTATTTACAAAGGAGGTTTATGGTGAAATAAAAATATTTGATATATAAATATCAGTGGAAACGAAGTACGAAATTTCCGGTAGTGGAAATATATAATAGGAGTCGCGTGTAAAACGTATCAGATTTATGGAATCTATTAGGTCTATTAAGGAATGGTCAACGTGATTTGATTGACACTGACGATTTCTTTGGTATATTTTCGTTGAATTATCATTGACAATGATAATTAACCCTTTGCACTCGACGATTTTTTAGCTAGAGAAGAGTAGAAATTCAAAGATTCTCTACTAAAAACTGACGATACTTTTTTGAGCAGTAAACAAAGAATTGTAGAATTATTTGCTTTCGATATCTCGCACACTGTCACATTACATTAAAGCTGATATATTAATTAACCCTTTACACTCGATGAATTTTTCGTTACAGAAAAATAGTAATTCGAAGACGTTCTGTCATAGAGTCGATAATATTTTTAAAATGGTAAATGAGAAATCATATGCAAATTAAGACGTGGAATTATTTTTCTTCGACATTCCACACATCGTTTGATAATTTTAAATTTCATATATTAATTAACGTCGATCTTTAGAATCTGATTAAATGGTGAATGAGAGTCACCTTTCGAGGGTTAAAAGGTTAAAGGGTTAAATACTAAAATGAATGTTGCTTTAAAACATTCAGTGGAGATGTTGTTTCATCCATTTTACTATTTTTTAATATCATAGTATTGTTTCCTTATATATAATATATTTAATCGTTAGTTATGCTGGAAATATATAATTTATATATTTAGGCATTAGTTATGGCTGAAATATATAATTTATATACTTAGATGTTAGTTATGGCGGATAGTTTATCTAGGCTATCAAAATGTTGCTGAAGACACCAGATTATATAATTTAATAATTAAAAGTATCTTTATAAAAACTTTTTTAAATTTTTCTATTTTCTTCTCTATTTTCCTGTTTAGAATGAGGATTTTCATCAAAATGTTAGAAACACAGGTCTCTACATACTACAAAAATTAGACAAATTTTGTCAATGTTGAATTAATTTTTCTATTTTCTTCTCTATTTTCCTCTTTAGAATCAGGATTTTCATCAAAATATTAGAAATACAGGTCTCTACATACTACAAAAATTGGACAAATTTTGTCAATGTTGAATGAATTTTTCTATTTTCTTCTCTATTTTCCTCTTTTCTTCTCTATTTTCCTCTTTAGAATCAGGATTTTCATCAAAATATTAGAAATACAGGTCTCTACATACTACAAAAATTGGACAAATTTTGTCAATGTTGAATGAATTTTTCTATTTTCTTCTGTATTTTCCTCTTTAGAATCATGATTTTCATCAAAATATTAGAAATACAGGTCTCTACATACTACAAAAATTGGACAAATTTTGTCAATGTTGAATGAATTTTTCTATTTTCTTCTCTATTTTCCTCTTTTCTTCTCTATTTTCCTCTTTAGAATCAGGATTTTCATCAAAATATTCGAAATACAGGTCTCTACATATTACAAAAATTAGACAAATTTTGTCAATGTTGAATGGATTTTTCTATTTTCTTCTTTATTTTCCTCTTTAGAATCAGGATTTTCATCAAAATATTAGAAATACAGGTCTCTACATACTACAAAAATTAGACAAATTTTGTCAATGTTGAATGAATTTTTCTATTTTCTTCTCTATTTTCCTCTTTTCTTCTCTATTTTCCTCTTTTCTTCTCTATTTTCCTCTTTAGAATCAGGACTTTCATCAAAATATTCGAAATACAGGTCTCTACATAGTACAAAAATTAGACAAATTTTGTCAATGTTGAATGAATTTTTCTATTTTCTTCTCTATTTTCCTCTTTAGAATCAGGATTTTCATCAAAATATTAGAAATACAGGTCTCTACATACTACAAAAATTGGACAAATTTTGTCAATGTTGAATGAATTTTTCTATTTTCTTCTGTATTTTCCTCTTTAGAATCATGATTTTCATCAAAATATTAGAAATACAGGTCTCTACATACTACAAAAATTGGACAAATTTTGTCAATGTTGAATGAATTTTTCTATTTTCTTCATTTTCCAATCTTGTTTATTATCCCACACAAAGCTCAAAACAGTAATTAAAATTTCAATTTTAAATTAACTGTTTTACTCTCGACGTGTTCGCATTGCTCTAATTCTTGCATGTGTATGTAACATACATTCTGTATATAACAATTTCTTCCATTTTGTTACACTCGTATTCGCACTCGTGCACGAGCAGACGAAATAAAGTAGAATTTGGATAAAGAAAACAACGTGTTTGTTAATTAATGTAACGAATAAGAGTGGCGTTTAATTATGAAACAGTATAGCGTTTCTCGGTTGGTTCTTTTCCCTGGCCATGTTAGGACAACGCCTTCGTGGTGTGAAACAGCGTTCCCTTTCCAAGGGCTGAGCGATTCTGCCTTTGAAACCGCTGTTTTCAGTCGCTCGTCCAAAGTAACACGAATAACGGGATACCAAGGGAACCAATTTCAGCGCGGATTTTCCATTTGCATTATTGCCCACGAAATTAATGACCGAACATCGGACCGCTCGCAGTGATTAGTGGCAAACTGACCTATCGATGTTGTGACCATCATGCGTTGCTAAATGCGATTCGGTAATGCATTATGGGACGTAAAATTTTTTCTCCTTTGCCATTTTTTTTTGGGGGGGTTTTCCGCAATTTTTCATCTCTTTTGAGGTTAGGTGCTCGTTGGTTATATCGGTGTTTGCAAGGTAAATTTTGTTAATCGCGCGAATATTGCGACGGTATGGTAAATTAAACGTTAGACTTTGTAATTGATAATTATCTATTCAGGAAAGTTTCGAAATGCATTTCGGTAAGAGGTTTTATGTTTCGAGTTGAGTCACTGTAATTAGGTAAATTGTCTGTTATGCTTGGTTTATATTTAATTCAGACGATTTGGTAGTACTGTAGTGTACTTGGTATTTCGGTTTATTTAAAATGAAATTTTCATTTTCTTCTTTGTTAGTTCACTGCTTATGAAATTTTTATTTTCCCGAGGATTGTTGATAAAATAGATGGAAATGTGCGTTGGAAATTTAATTAAGAGTTGTATCTTTAGTATCATTATGTTACTCAAGTATCACTTCGATATTTGGAATATTTATGGTAATTAGGATATTGATAAAAATTCTGCCTGAAATTGGATGTTTAATTATTAGAAATTATTAAATACGTGAGAATCATGCTACGGAATATTTCGTTTATATATTTCATAGTGTATACTCGTGATTCATAGTGTTACTGTTAAGTCGACTATGGATGAAGGATATATGTCGTAAAATATTAGTTAATTTTTCTTCTAACCATTTAATTAACTTAAACATGCATGATAGAATTTAATTAAATCGTGTTCAAATCAAGGATTTAATTCATAGTGTTACTGTTAAGTTTAGTGTAGGATAGTGTAGACTCGTAATTCATAGTGTTACTGTTAAGATGACTATGGATGAAGGATAGGATATATCTCGTAAAATATTAGTTCGTTTTTCTTCTAATAATTTAATTAATTTAAACATGTTTGACAGAATTTAATTAAATCGTGTTCAAATGAAGGATTTAATTAGAAAGTAATTGTCTTTACATTTCCATAATGATCATCATATTTTTGTTTCTTTCATTGCGCGTTACTTTTATTATTTTTGTTATTTTTAGTTGGCCACTTTTTTCGTTACGTTGCATTATTTTTCGACTAAAAATAAATCTTCAGCAATGGTAGAATGGTCTTTGTCGGGTGACGAGGCAACGCATTCGAGTTAAACAGAGTGCGTTTCAAAAAGAATATTCAGCGAGGTTCGAATATTTATGTTGCTTTAACCGTTTATTTTCCGCCCCTTTACTTGTCAACGTTGTTTACGTTGCCGTGAAAAATCGAATTTCGGCAAAAGAATTTTGACAGTCGCCGGGAATTCTGGCTTATGTCTGAGGCTCGTGACGTTTATTATTGTTAGAACGTTCTACCGATACGTGTCAGGTTTGAGTTTAGTCATTTCTACATACCGCAAAAATAGTTTCCCGCTGGTTTTAATAAAGTTGGAACATTCAGCAAAATTAACGAAACAAATTGGAGTACTGAACTTGTAGAATGAAACCGCCTTAATTGGTATAAAATTACGAAATGAACACGATCAAAATTAAAATACAATTTCTTCGTGCTTTCAGTTTGCTCGTTAAAAAATAAAACGTTTTTAAACGAGTTAACTCCTTTAAAAAGGACTTTATCGAGATTGAAAAATCCTTGTACCTTAAGTACGTCGCGACATCTAGCGTTATTTCTCGAGATTGGAGTCCGGTGTGAAACGTTTAATTCGTTGAATTTTTGAAGCCTGAGGGGGGACTCTAGGCATGAATTGCGGAAGCTAATCGTAGGACTCGCTTTGTTAAAGCAGATTTGGTTATTGTTGTTCAATTTGTTGAAAGATTTAGTAGGAAGAATAAAACTTTAGTACTAGTATAGAGACACAAAAGAATGATAAGTATACTTAGTACAAAATTGAGATCTACATCCCACGAGGTCTTTAGAAGGGCAAGACATTCCGATAGTATAAGAGAGATAGAACAATCGGAAATCATCATAGATTATAACAAATATATGGGTATCGTCGATGTGACATACCAATACATATATTATTCTTTAAGTCAGACATTCAAGTGTTGAGGGAAATATTTCTTTCGAGGATTAGAATTTGGTTCTTCCTTTATTTATTTAAATTGTCGTATTTTCTAGTTAAAAGCAAATATAAATTACAACAATGTCAGTAACAATAAATCAAATCGCAATACTAGGAGTCGATAAACTGTCCTGT